CCACGCCAGAGCTCCCTGTCGGCCGTCACCACCCCAGCTCCTTCAAAGACAACCCAGTCACTTCAAGGATGCCATCCATCCATCTTGCCCTTGGTCGGCCCCTCTTCCTTTTGCCTTCCACTTTCTTTCCCCAGCATAATTGTCTTCTCTAGGCTTTGCTGTCTCCTCATGATGTGGCCAAAGTACTTCAACTTTGTCTCTAGTATCCTTCCCTCCAATGAACAGTCGGGCTTTATTTCCTGGAGGATGGACTGGTTGGATCTTCTCGCAGTCCAAGGCACTCTCAGAACTTTCCTTCAGCACCACAGTTCAAAGGGGTGATTGTAGGTGAACTATAAATCCCAGCAACTACAACTCCCAAATGTCAAGGTCTATTTCCTCCAAACTCCATCAGTGTTCACATTTGGGCATATTGAGTATTCGTGTAGAGTTTGGTCCAGATCCATCATTGTTTGAGTCCACAGTGCTCTCTGGATGTAGGTGAACTACAACTCCCAAACTCAAGGTCAATGCCCACCAAACCCTTCCAGTATTCCCTGCTGGTCATGGGAGTTCTGTGTGCCAAGTTTGGTTCAATTCCATCATTGGTGGAGTTCAGAATGCCCTTTTTATTGTATGTGAACTATAAATCCCAGCAACTACAACTCCCAAATGACAAAATCAATCCCTCCCAACACCTCCAGTATTCAAATTTGGGCGTATAGAATATTTGTGCCAAATTTGATACAGTGAATGAAAATACATCCTGCATATCAGATATTTACATGACGATTCATAACAGGAGAAAAATGACAGTGATGAAGTAGCAACGAAAATCATTTTATGGTTGGGGGTCACCACAACATGAGGAAATGTATTAAGGCGTTGCGGCATTAGGAAGGTTGAGAACCACTGTTCTATATGGTATAATTATTGCAAACTGACATCACTTCAACAGCCATGGCTCAATGCTATGGAATCATGGAATGCTAGGTCTGCCATGAACAGATCTATCTATAGGTCTGTAGACTGCAGGGAACCCTCAATCTTAAGGAGAAAGATTATGGGTTGGCCTTACCTTTGATGAAAGAGTTTTCCCTCGCCTCAACAAGAACACAAACTTGCCATCTTCTTGAATGAACGAAGAGGAACAATCCATCAATTGGTTGCCACAACTCTATAAATTCACATTGAGATGATCAAATGGCGATTACAGTGCATTTTCGGATAAATATTGGCTTTGTTCTCTCGGTGCCATCAGTGGAGAACAACAAAGAACAAGGGTCTTTGTTGCAACTCAAGATGATTCTCTTCTGTCCTGGAGCAGTTACATTGTACATGTCAAAGTGAGTGGGAATGGAGTTGGGCTGCCGATATGCTAACACCGGCCTCAGCAGATTCCTTTTATCTAAAAGGGGAAAGAGCAAAATGAAGGTTGTACAATAGGCTTGGGTGATCCAGTTCGTTAATTTCGTTATTCGTTATTAATTCGTATTTAAATTAGCTTACGATCCAATATTGAGCCATGCAGGAATAGTGTGAGGAGTAATTAAGAATCGAAACAATTTTTCCAATTTTCATAATTATTTCGTAATTATTTCGTAATTATTTTCGTATGTCTGGTGCAAGTTTTACAATCTCGCATTTACCCCACTTCCGGTCCCTTTGCTCTGCTGCTTCCCTCCTCTTTCCTCATGCTTCTTCTTGCCTCACTCTGGGCTGCACTGGGCTACTTCCTTCCTTCCTTCCTTCCTTCCTTCCTTCCTTCCTTCCTTCCTTCCTTCCTTCTTTCCTTCCTTCCTTCCAGCTGGCAAATCCCACATTCCCCCCTCCCTCCTCTTTCTCCTGGCATCCTTCTTGCCCAAAATTTCTCATTACTTTATTTTTCATACCCTCACTCTATGCCACAGGAATGCGTTGCCAGGTACAGCTAGTATAAATATAATATATATAATATAATATAATATAATAATATTATTATATATTTTATATTATTATTATAATAACTTGGCAAGAATGATAGGGGTAGATAGTGCCCTCTTTTCTAAAGTCTGGTTTACTTAGGTAAAGGTAAAGGTAGTCCCCTGACATGAAGTCCAGTCATGTCTGACTCTGGGGTGTGGTGCTCATCTCCATTTCTAAGCCGAAGAGCCAGCGTTGTCCGTAGACACCTCCAAGGTCATATATATTATATTACTATATTATTATTATATTAGATTATAATTGTATATTATAATATATTATATTATATTATAATAATATAATATACAATAATATAATATAATAATATTATTATAATATAATATATATTATATATAATAATATATAATATTATAATATTATAATAATATAATATACAGTAATATAATATAATATTATAATATACAATATAATATAATAATATTATAATAATATAATATAATGTAATATAGTTGTTGTTTGTTTTATCACACCAACAGTCAACAACAGAGGGAGAGGGAAGCTTCAGAAGTTCCCCCTGTCCCATTTGGAGGTTTTTTTAGCATATTGCGCAATTGCATCTGCCATTAACATTTACGAAATTTTGAAATTTTGAAATCTTAAATTTCGGAAGTCCTCAGAATTTCGAAACGCTAGCGCACCCTAGAAACAAAACGAGTTTAGAACCAATTTTTTTCTTGATCGCCCAAGCCTATTGTGCACCCCTGTATGGCAGAAGGGGTTAGGGTGGAAGTCTTTGGGGATCCCTTACAACACTAGCCGTCCCCTGCCATGCGTTGCTGTGGCCCACATGGCTTTTCTGTGTGGGAGTTTTGGGCCAATTCTAATGTTGGTGGGGTTCAGAATGCTCTGTGATTGTAGGTGAACTATAAATCCCAGCAACTACACTAAGATCATCTGGGGAGGCCCTGCTCTCAGTCCCGCCTGCATCACAGGCGCGCTTGGCGGGGACGAGAGACAGGGCCTTCTCAGTGGTGGCCCCTCGGCTGTGGAACGCCCTGCCTGCAGATATCAGATCGGCCCCCTCCCTGCTGGCGTTTCGGAGGAAAGTGAAGACCTGGCTGTTCGAACAAGCATTTGATTAAACAGTGTAATTGAACATAGGAATACGGAATAATGGATGACGAGACTGGATTCTGATTTTACTGTTGAGGCGCTAATTATTGTTATACTGATGTTAATGATTTATGTTATAATTGTTTTTAATTGCCCTATACTTGTTTTGTGATGTTTTGTACTGATGTTGTTCACCGCTTTGAGTCGCCTGAGGGCTGAGAAAAGCGGTATAGAAATAAAGTAAATAAATAAATAAACTACAACTCCCAAATGCCAAGATTCTATTTTCCCCAAACTCCACCAGTGTTCACATTTGGCATATTGAGTATTCGTGTAGAGTTTGGTCCAGATCCATCATTGTTTGAGTCCACAGTGCTCTGGATGTAGTGAACTACAACTCCAAAACTCAAAGGACATCCCACCAAACCCTTCCCGTATTTTCTGTTGGTCATACAGATATTATACATGATTTTATATATCAGGCCTTATAACAGGGATAGGTAAAGCTAAAGGTAATCCCCTGACATTAAGTCCAGTCATGTCTGACTCTGGGGTGTGGTGCTCATCCCCATTTCTAAGCCGAAGAGCCAGCGTTGTCCGTAGACACCTCCAAGGTCATGTGGCCGGCATGACTGCATGGAGCGCCGTTACCTTCCCGCCGGAGCGGTACTATTGATCTACTCACATTTGCATGTTTTCGCACTGCTAGGTTGGCAGAAGCTAGGGCTGACAGCGGAAGCTCACGCCGCTCCCCGGAATCGAACCTGCGACCTTTCGATCAACAAGCTCAGCAGCTCAGTGCTTTAACCCACTGCTCTTTGATTGTAGGTGAACTATAAATCCCAGCATCTACAACTCCCAAATGACAAAATCATTTTTTTAGTGAAGGACATACATTGGGTTGTTAGGCGTATTGTGTCCAAATTTGGTGTCAATTGGTCCAGTCGTTTTTGAGTTATGTTAATACCACAAACGAACATTACATTTTTATTTATATAGATAGGGCACAGTTCTAAGCTAAAATGTGTGTCACTTCTAAAAAGTGAACTTTATTAAGTGCTGGGCACTATATTGTATTGCAACTACTGCAAGGAAGATTTATTCTTTGGTTAGACCACACCTGGAATATTGTGTCCAATTCTGGGCACCACAATTCAAGAGAGTATTGACAAGCTGGAATATGTCCAAAGGAGGGTGACTAAAATGATCAAGGGTCTGGAGAACAAGCCCTATGAGGAGCGGCTTAAGGAGCTGGGCATGTTTAGCCTGAAGAAGAGAAGGCTGAGAGGAGATATGATAGCCATGTATAAATATGTGAGAGGAAGCCACAGGGAGGAGGGAGCAAGCTTGTTTTCTGCTTCCTTGGAGACTAGGACGCGGAACAATGGCTTCAAACTACAAGAGAGGAGATTCCATCTGAACATGAGGAAGAACTTCCTGACTGTGAGAGCCGTTCAGCAGTGGAACTCTCTGCCCCGGAGTGTGGTGGAGCCTCCTTCTTTGGAAGCTTTTAAACAGAGGCTGGATGGCCATCTGTCAGGGGTGATTTGAATGCAATATTCCTGCTTCTTGGCAGGGGGTTGGACTGGATGGCCCATGAGGTCTCTTCCAACTCTTTCAATGATTCTATGATTCTATGTCTAGTGCATATCTATTTTTTAAAGAACATCCAAAATGAGAGGAAGGTCCTTATAATACCTCATCAGAATTTTTTTGGAAGGAGACTATTACTCCCTACTCTGATGCAATACATTATATTTCCATGTAAATGACACCAATTATGTCTAATTCTGCATCCATATGTAGGAATTGTGAAGAGCATTTTTTGTGCATTTCAATGTCTTATCTCGTCCTTGTTGGAAGGACATTGTGGCATGGCATTTCAGTGGTCATCTTAGAGAAGAAAAAAATCAAGTTCTGTACTTGGGAGAGGGGAGGGTAGTGATCTTGCATTTCCCATCCAAGCCTCTGCCTTTCTTCCCCAGGCCTACAAATTTATACCCAGAGTTCCCAAGGACAGGACTCAAATGATCCTCATCTCTATTGTTCTGGTACTTCTGATGACTATCATTATCGGAGCTATTCTCATCGGCGTCCACATTACTCAGGAACACACGGAAAAGGTGAGTAAAACCTCTCAAGCAATGTTAATGGCATTCAGAAGGTGGATCCATTCCTGGAGGTTCTCTCCATAAGCTGTCCTCCTAAGCTGATGGGACCCTAGCATGAACCATGGAGCTTCAGGGTTTCTGTACTGAGCAACAAAGTGGCATCTGATGGTTTCTATGTTCAATGCAGTAATGAATCAACTCTAGGACCCCTTCCACACAGCTGAATAAAATCCCATATTTTCTGCTTTAAACTGGAATATATGGCAGTGTGGATTCAAATACCCCATGTACTGTCGAAGACTTTCATGGCTAAAATCATTGGGTTGTTGTAGGTTTTTTCGGGCTATGTGACCATGTTCTAGAGGCATTCTCTCCTGACGTTTCACCTGCATCTATGGCAAGCATCCTCAGAGGTAGTGAGGTCAAATAACCCAGTTCAAAGCAGATATTGTGGCTGCCAATTTGCTACCGAGCACAATTCAAAGTGCTGGCTTTAGCCTATAAAGCCCTAAACAATTACAGCCCAGCTTACCTGTCCAAACGTATCTCCTCCTATGAACCATCTAGGAACTTAAGATCGTCTGGGGAGGCCCTGCTCTTGATCCCGCCTGCCTTGCAAGTGCGATGGGGAGAGACGAAGGACAGGGCCTTCTCAGTGGTGCCCACCCCAGCCATGGAACTCCCTGACCAGGGATATTAGATCGGCCTCCTCCCTCCTGACTTTCCGAAAAAAAAGTAAAGACCTGCCTCTTTGAGCAAGCTTTTGAGAATGTAGCAAAATAGATAACACGGAACTATGAATGATGAACATGGAATGGCCAGACGATGTTACTGGATAACGTTTTTAACAAGATGACACCGATTATTATATTATACCCCAGGTCTCGGTTAAAACTTGTGCGCCAGCTGTGCCCGTACTTGGGAAGTCTGACTTGCCCATGGTGGTCCACGCTCTGGTTACATCCCGTTTAGACTACTGCAACGCTCTCTATGTGGGGTTGCCTCTGAAGACTGCCCGGAAGCTGCAATTACTCCAACGAGCGGCAGCCAGATTACTAACAGGAGTGGGGTACAGGGAGCATACTATTCCTCTGTTGCACCAGCTCCACTGGCTGCCAATTAGCTTCCGAGCACAATTCAAAGTGCTGGTGTTGACCTATAAATCCCTAAACGACTCCGGCCCAGTTTACCTGTCCGAACAGATTCTCCCCTGTGAACCATCAAGGTTGTTAAGATCTTCTGGAGGGGCCCTGCTCTCAGTCGCACCACCCTCACAATTGCGTCTGGTGGGGACGAGGGACAGGGCCTTCTCGGTGGTGGCCCCTTGGCTCTGGAACTCTCTCCCACTGGAGATTAGAACTGCCCCATCTCTCCTGACTTTTAGAAAGCTTGTGAAAACTTGGCTCTGGAATTTAGCATTTGATGAGTGAGTCAATAACTCCTGACCACACGGACGGATGGTGATGAATTGTGATTTCATTTTGACGACTTGGCCTTATGTAATTATATGATTGAATTTTAATGTATTTTATGTATTCGTGTATTATGGGGTGTGATGTTTTAAACCAGGGGTCCTCAAACTAAGGCCCAGGGGCCAGATACAGCCCTCCAAGGTGATTTATCCGGCCCTCGCTCAGGGTCAACCTAAGTCTGAAACAACTCGAAAGCACACAACAACAACAATTCTATCTCATCAGCCAAAAGCAGACCCACACTTTCCATTGAAATACTAATAAGTTTATATTTGTTAAAATTCATTTTAATTATTGTATTGTTTTAAAGAGTTTTTTGCACTACAAATAAGATATGTGCAATGTGCATAGGAATTCATGTTTTTTTCAAATGATAATCCAGCCCTCCAACAGTTTGAGAGTCTGTGACCTGGCCCTCTGTTTAAAAAGTTTGAGGACGCCTGTTTTAAACTATTGTTTATGAATCTTTTGTTGTGAACTGGCCTGAGTCCCTCTTCGGAGTTCTAAATAATAAATAAATAAATAAATAAATAAATAAATAAATAAATAAATAAATAAGGAGCCTGGCTGCTGCCCATTGCACAGTTGAAACTTTTGGGTGTCTTCAAGGGCAGTCCCATGTAGAGCGCATTGCAATAGTCCAGTCTGGATGTAACCAGTTTCAGCATAAGAACAAACCTACAGAACCTATCTTGTTTGTAGCTGAATACCTAAAGACAGAAATGCTTAAAAATCTCAGGAGAGTATTCACTAGAACCAGATTTGAACAGATGAATACAATGGTTAAACATGGAAGATTTAACCAGGTTCCATATATGGACGTTTCTGTATCTGTGGGGCGACAGAGTTAGAGGATATTACACATGTTCTGTTTTGTTGGGTTTTTTTGTACAAGAAAGAGAGAAATCAATACCTCAGACCATTCATTACATAGCAGACTCACTGGGATCCCCATATCAGGACTACATTTTAATGGCTGGCCAGAATGCTAAGATAACACACCAAACAGCCCTTTTTCTACATAAAGCGACGCAGCTGAGAACTGCGTATTTGGAGGCGATTGGGGTAAACTGTAGGGGTGACGCAGATATCTGAATTGGATTGGGGTTGTGTAATAGCTGGTCTATTTTAACCTTTGTTTTAACCTCCGTCAACGTCTGTGGTATGAAGTTTTACCTTGGCACTGATTATATTTTTAATTATCTTTAACTTTTAACTTAGTTTTAATTGTGTTTTAATGTGTGTTCACTATTACAGGAGTTTTAGGACAGTTTTTAGTGTCTATTTGTGCATTTTCTTGTTTTTGTCTTTTACTGTTGATATGCTCAGTGGACTAATCAATAAACTTTACTATATCTACCTGTTTGTAACTGGGAATTGCCTGTACTACGCTGTGCCTTGTCTGTCCTGTAGATCATTAAAACCACTACTAAAGGAGCAAATGGTGAAACGGTGAAGCAAACTGTGATGGTGGACACCCAGGAAAATGTGGCTGTATTTTACATCCACAGCAACACCACCTCAGCCACTGTTGTCTATGACTATCAGCAAGTAAGTCCTGAGAAAACTTCCAGCATGGCATCAAAATGGTTCAAGGCATTCTACCACCATAAGTTGGACCGAGAGCATCTTTGGATTATCCGTTGCTTTAACGTATAATCCCACCACTCAGGATGGGAGCACTGACAACTCAACAGCCCGCTGTGAAGCATTTGCTCGGTTCTTCGCAGACAAAGTTGCTTTGATCCGTTCTGGACACCATGTTAACAGCAGTCTCTGAGAATGTAACACGAGCATCTGCTTGTCCGGTTTTGATGGATTCATTTCAATTGGTGAAACCCGAGGATGTGGACAAGATACTTGGAGGAATGAGGCCTACCACATGCATCCTAGACCCCTGCCCATCCTGGCTTCTAAAGGAGGCCAGAGGGGGATTGGCTGAGTGGGTGAAGGTGGTGGTTAATGCCTCCCTTCGGGAAGGCAACATTCCAGCGAGCTTAAAACAAGCTGTAATAAAACCACTGTTGAAAAAACCATCACTGGACCCCACTCAATTCGTCAACTATCGGCCTGTTTCCAATCTCCCCTTTTTGGGCAAAGTCCTGGAACGTGTGGTGGCTTCACAACTCCAGGTATTCTTGGACGACACCGATTATTTGGATTCGGCACAGTCTGGCTTTAGACCGGGACATGGAACCGAGACAGCCTTGGTCGCCTTAGTTGATGATCTACGCCGGGAGCTAGACAGGGGGAATGTGTCCTTGTTGGTTCTGCTGGACCTCTCAGTGGCCTTCGATACCGTCAACCATGGTATCTTTCTGGGACGCCTTGCCGGAATGGGCCTGGGGGGCACTGTTTTACAGTGGCTCCGGTCCTTTCTGGGGGGTTGCACCCAGAAGGTGTTATTGGGAAACACCTGTTCAACCCCACATCCTTTGTCTTTTTTTTTTATTAATTTTTAATTCAGAAAAAAATTTACAATGCAGATAAAAAAGTAGAGGGGTTAGGGGGAGGGATTGTCTAGGGTGGAAGGGGGAGCCAGTGGTCCTTTGTCTTGTGGGGTTCCTCAGGGATCAATACTGTATCCCATGTGGTTCAACATATACATGAAGCCGCTGGGGGAGATCATCCTGAATTTCGGGGTGCGATGCCATCTGTACGCGGATGATGTCCAACTCTGTCACTCCTTTCCACCCGCTACTAAGAAGGCTGTTCAGGTCCTGAACCGGTGCTTGGCCGCTGTGACGGTCTGGATGAGGGCGAACAAATTGAAATTGAATCCAAACAAGACAGAGGTCCTCCTGGTCAGTCACAAGGCCAAACATGGCATAGGGTTACAGCCTGTGTTGGATGGGGTTACACTCCCCCTGAAGACGCAGGTTCGCAGCCTGGGTGTGATCCTGGACTCATCGCTGAGCCTGGAACCTCAGGTCTCGGCGGTGACCAGGGGAGCATTTGCACAGTTAAAACTTGTGCGCCATCTGACTTGGCCACAGTTGTCCATGCTCTAGTTACATTCCATATAGACTACTGCAACGCTCTGTACGTGGGGTTGCCTTTGAAGATGGTCCGGAAGCTTCAACTAGTCCAATGAACAGGAGCCAGGTTGTTAACAGGAGCAGCGCTCAGGGAGCATACAACCCCCTTGTTGCGCCAGCTCCACTGGCTGCCAGTTTGCTACTGGGCCCAATTCAAAGTACTGTCTTTGCCCTATAAAGCCCTAAACGGTTCCAGTCCAACTTACCTGTCCGAACGTATCTCCCCTTATGAACCACTGAGGACTTTAAGATCATCTGGAGAGGCCCTGCTCTTGGTCCTGCCTTCATCACAAGTACGTTTGGCGGGGACGAGAGACAGGGCCTTCTCAGTGGTGGCCCCTCAGCTATGGAATGCCCTCCCTAGGGAAATCAGATCTGCTCCCTCCCTCTTGATGTTTTGGAGGCAAGTTAAAACGTGGCTATTCGAGCAAGCATTTACAAATACAGAGTAGCTAATATAGGAAATCGAATGACCTGACAATGGAATTGGACATTGCTTGAGAATAATGAGACGCTGATGATATTGCTTTTATTGCTTTTATGATGTTTTATACTGTTTAATGTTTTTTATCTATTATGTTTTATGTATACTGATTTGTTGGAAACCGCCTTGAGTCGCCAATTTGCTGAGAAAGGCGGTATAGAAATACAGTAAATAAATAAATAAATTTAATAGTAGCTCACTAAATTTTAGATTTGTTGCCCTTGGTTATGCAACTGTTTAAAGATGTGCAGCACTGACTGTTGTATGCAGATACCTCCAGTATGGATTAATGGGTGCAGAGGCTTGGCCTAACCAAGTTTGTGAATGGCCTCTGACCTGGCAACCGTTATGAATAACTAGCCGTCTCCTGCCACGCATTGCTGTGGCCCAGTCTGTGTATATGTGTTTTGTGTGTGTGGCCTTTAGCCAAACTCCAATCATACAATTTCATTCAATCCATTCCTGCATCACAGCTATGGTGCTCCACTTCAGTCTGACCTGTCACAGTAATGCTTTGAATATGGATCCACAGAAAGGAGAACTTGATCTTCAAGACATAGTTCCAGTTGGCCAACTGGACATACCTTCGGTGCCTATTTTGCTCTGAAATCTTCTTTGCTCCTTGCTTTATTTCTAGAGTTTGATTGCCTTCCGAATTCACAGCAAAAAACAATGCTCAGTGGTGGTGATGGATTTGGTTGATGTGCCCAGTCTACATGAGATCACCGAGCTGGTTGACCACTCGGGCAAACAGGTATGAGGGGATGAAATGCCAGCTATGGGATATTGCCCTGGAGAGGGTACAATATGTAGGAGCAGGGGCAGAGGGACTATTTTAGGAAATGCTAAAGTCCAGGTAAACAACAGGTGGCATAAAATAACACTGGCCAGCACACATTTTGATGTCTCAGATGTTAGCCCTGTTTCTGGGTATATTTGACCTGCAGATTCCAAAAAGGGCACCAGTTTCCCCCATCTGTATTTTTGGGATGCAGAACATATGCCATCTACCAGTCTTCATAGAAAATCACGATAGCCATGTGTAAGAAAGTAGAGCTGATGCAGTCTTTCCAATGCAATTTTCTGAATCAGTGCAACAGATAACTCCAGGAACAGGTCCAAAACTCAAGACACCAAGATAGATAGATAGATAGATAGATAGATAGATAGATAGATAGATAGATAGATATAATTATTGCATTTTTGAGGTATGACCTCAATTGTAGTAATGCACCTAAGTACATGACCTGGAAACACCTCTGGTTGTAATATATTGTTGCTTGTTGATTATTCTTTGAGAAACAAAGTTCAGTACCCTTATGACTTCCCTTCGTCCTATTTTTCTTACTGTACAGACATATATGCTCTGGCCATCAGTGGACTTACAAATCTGATTTATTGTTAACTAGCATGGGGATCTGACGGTGCCCGGGTTATTTGAGAAAGGCGTTGTTTGTCAGTGATCCAAGTTGAATCTAGATCCAGTGTCAGCTGGGTTCATTGGGTGCTGATAAACTACAACTCCCATATGAAAGTCCCATCATTCATGCCCCCTTCTCCTCCAAACTGCACCAGACTGTAGAGTGGGTCAGGGGGGCTCTGTGTGCCAAGTTTGATCTTGATCGGTCTTTGGTGTGTGTCGCAGTGGTCTCAGAAGTGAGTGAAGGTACTGCAAGTCCCATCATCCATAGTCCATTGTCCTACACAACACACCAGGATGTAGACTGGGTCATGGGGGCTCTGTATGCCAAGTTTGGTCCTGATCTGTCATTGTTGGGGGGCGCAGTGGTCTGTGCGTGCCGAAGTACTGCAAATCCCACCATCCATTGTCCTTCTTCCCCCAAACCACACCAGGTCCTAAACTGGGTCATGGGGGTTATGTGTGCCAAGTTTGGTCCAGGTCCATCATTTGTGGAGGTCGCAGTGGCCTGTGAAAGCGGCAGCCAATCAGAAAGCTGCCACATACATACATACACCGCCACAAACATAAAAACACTGACTTTTAGTAGATAGATAGATAGATCATAGATAGATAGATAGATAGATAGATAGATAGATAGATAGATAGATAGATAGATCTCCTTGAACAATGAGGCAGTCCTTCCAGCCTACACCAAACCTTCATAAGCCAGAGTTTGAGGGTGTCAGGTCCTCCAGGTGCTTTGGAACTATAACTCCCATCATCCCTCACCTTTTAATACTGTTGGACTGGAGTCAGTCCATTAGGATCTGAAGGTCCATTGGTTTCTGCTAGTTCTTCCAACTAAGTGCAAGAAATCTATTTTCATGTGTGTATTATCTATATAAACCATTTTCTTTTGTTTCATGAAGGTCTCGGGAGAGGACAGCTTGGTTTACACCTTCAAGCAGCAAGGAATGGCTGACCGGAACGCTCTTGGGACCACCATTAATGTTCTCTGTAGTGATGTCCCTGTTTATTGGGCCGAGGTAAACTCTTAATGCTTTTGATTTCTCCTTTCCCAGGAAATATCTTTCTGGAAGTAATGCATAACAGTGGAGAGAAGATTGGGATCTATGGGTACATCCCAAGAGGTTTCTAGTCAATGTATTATTGAAGGCTTTCATGGCTGGAATCACTGGGTTGTTGTAGGTTTTTTCGGGCTATATGGCCATGTTCTAGAAGCATTCTTTCCTGACGTTTCGCCTGCATCTATGGCAAGCATCCTCAGAGGTTGTGAGACCGCACAACCTCTGAGGATGCTTGCCATAGATGCGAAACGTCAGGAGAGAATGCCTCTAGAACATGGCCATATAGCCCGAAAAAACCTACAACAACCCGGTTTCAAGTCAATTGGCAAACTTTCTGACTCCCATGTGCCCAATCCTGTTATTCTGACGATCACGGCCATGAAGGTCACAAGATTGGAGTGGACTCCTCTAAGGATGAATGATGCACAGCCATCCCTCCAGTTTCCCTTTTTACTTCTGCAGATTTGATTGAAATGTTCTATGAATGTCTAGGACCTTCAGTGTGATTCTATGGTCTACTTCCTCCAGTCATGCTGGAAGTCCTAGAGATCTCTATAGAAAACACCTATAGAGATCTCTAGATCCTCTAGTGAAATGTGATGTTCAGTTTCCTGCAGAAGTTGACTGTAGAGTCATGGTAGAGAGGTATTCTCTGGGATTTAAAAAATGTGTTTAGGATGTGGAACAATGGCTTCAAACTACAAGAAAGGAGATTCCGCCTGAACATTAGGAAGAACTTCCTGGCTGAGAGAGCTGTTCAGCAGTGGAACTCTCTGCCCCGTAGTGTGATGGAGGCTCCTTCTTTGGAGGCTTTTAAGCAGAGGCTGGATGGCCATCTGTCAGGGGTGCTTTGAATGCGATGTTCCTGCTTCTTGGCAGGGGGTTGGACTGGATGGCCCATGAGATCTCTTCCAACTCAATGATTCTTTATTTTCACTTTCACTGGGTTTTGTGCCCATGACTCCAGTGAATATGGAAAGTTCACTTTCAAGTTCATTGAACAAGATGCAGCTATCATTGGAAGTCCCTTCTTGAGGTGGAGACGGGCTTTTGAGCGTCTGTTTGCCATGCAAGACTACTTTCTTTTCTTTTCTTTTCTTTTTGTAATTAATTTTTATTATAGTATAAACCATAAATTAAAAAGAATAGATTATTTTACATTGAAAGTGGGAGAACAATATGAGTCATAGAAAGTCGTAAACAAAAAGGGATAGAGGGAGGGGGGGAAGGGAAGAGAGAGAAAAGGTGGTTGACTTCCATCTAGTCTTCAGTAGTAATTTGGTCTTTCTTCCATGTAGTCATAGTCCATCTACTTCTCCTTTGTCCCTTATGACTTCTTAAGGTCTTTTCTCTTCGGTTTATAAGATCTGTTTACAGCTGCTTGAAACCGTCTTTAACCAGGTCCCAATTCGTTTGTTTCTTTGGTAGGCCTTGATTCAGAGAAAATCAGTATGTTAATTTGTCCATGTTCATTATCTCCAGAATCTTGTTTTGCCATTCTTCCTTTTTTTGGTATCTCTTTGGATCTCCAATTCTTCGCATATACTATTCTGGCTGCAATAGCCAGATAGCTAAACAATCTCTCTTTCTTTTTGTCTTTGTCAAGATCCAACATCTATATAAATAAAATTTTAATGTTCGTTTGTGGGATTAACATCACTCAAAAACCACTGGGCGAATTGACACCAAATGTGGACACAAGACACTTCTCAAGCCAATGAGTGATCATTACTCATAAAAACACTGAAAAACACAGCAGAAGGGACTTAAAAAGCAAAAAAACCCAAAAAGACGCTACAGTGCGTACGCAAAAATAAATCCACCGGCAAACAAAACACACAATAGCACATCCACATTCTCTTCTGGACTACAGCTCCCAGCATCCCCCAGACCAGGCCCTTTAGGAGAGGAGGATGATCCAAATGCACTGCTTCCGAGATGCAAGCTTTCTTCTCCTTGGGTTTCTTTGAGAGCATCCCAATCCTTGCATATTTCCAATTTCCTATTCCTAGACTGCAACTCCCAGCAACTCTCCAGATAGATAGATTAGATAGAGATAGATAAGTGGTAGGTAGAGCGATCAATCAGGAAGACTGCTAGGAGTTTTTGTTTGTTTGTTTGTTTGTTTGTTTGTTTGTTTGTTTGTTTTGTCGTGTCAGAAACTGCAAGTTGCTTCTGGTGTGAGAGAATTGGCCGTCTGCAAGGACGTTGCCCAGGGAATGCCCGGATGTTTTGATGTTTTACCATCCTTGTTGGAGGCTTCTCTCATGTCCCCGCATGGGGAGCTGGAGCTGACAGAGGGAGCTCATCCGCGCTCTCCCCAGATTCGAACCTGCGACCTGTGGGTCTTCAGTCCTGCCGGCACAAGGGTTTAACCCACTGCGCCACCGGGGGCTCCTAACTGCTGGGAGTTGCAGTCCAGGAATAGGTAGAGAAGGAAGAAAGGGAGAAGAGGAAGGAAAGAAAGGGGAAGGAAGGAAAGAGAAAGAGAAGGAAAGGAAAGAAGAAAAAGGAAAGAAAGAAAGAAAGAAGAAAGAAAGGAAGGAAAGAAGGAAGGGAAGGAGGAAGGGAAGGGAAGGGAAGGGAAGGAAGGAAGGAAGGGAAGGGAAGGGAAGGGAAGGGAAGGGAAGGGGAAGGAAGGAAGGAAGGAAGGAAGGAAAGAAAGAAAGGAGAAAAAGAGGGAGGGAAGGTTGGCGACGGCAACACGTGGTGGGTACAGCTAGTTCCTAATAAAAAGGGTTCTGGTTCCTTTTGAATATTGATCTTTAAGATCTTTTGTATATCTCCACGTATGCCATTCCAGAATTTTTTAGTTTTTGAACAGGTCCACCAAGTATGAAAAAAATACTTACTTGTTCAGCATTTGTTGGATGCATTTTTATAATGTCTTGAGATTTTTTTGTGACGTAATATACCACCTGTATATTATTTTAAGCCTGTTTTCTCTCCAGCCATGCAAGACTATTTTCATGAGGTTTGACTAACAGACGAGAAAGTCTCCTGATCCTGGAAGGTGGAAAGATAAGCCTTTCCTTTACTAATAGTATTTTCTTCTCTTTATTTCCTTTTCTAGAAAAATCACAAGAAGCCACGGAGAAGATCAGCCCCTTGCCCGGGCCTTTTGATTTTTAGACTCTGCTTTGCATTTCTTTAAACCCATCCATATGTCTATGTGTGCTTGACAGATTACCTCTCGTGTTCACATCTGATGCTGAAGCCTGTATTCCTATTCGCTATTTCCTATTGGATTTAATCAGGAAGAACTCCATTGCTTTTAACACTGTGTCATTGGCTCATAATAGTAATTGCTTCCATCATGTAGCTTTACTTTTTGGTCAGCAAATAGGAGAAATTGAAGTTTAAATAGGGGTGCTTTGCTTACAGGGAGCGGTCAGCCCCCCTGTTTAAACAGCTCCACTTGCTGCCGATAAGTTTCCGGTCCCAATTCAAGGCGCAGGTTATCACCTATAAAGCTCTAAACCAGTAGTTCTCAACCTGGGGTCCCCAGATGTTTTTGGCTTACAATTCCCAGAAATACCAGTCAGTTTAGCAGCTGTTAGGATTTCTGGGAGTTGAAGGCCAAAAACATCTGGGGACCCCAGGTTGAGAACCACTGCTCTAAACGGTTCAGGACCTGCCTATCTTCGTGACCTCATCCTCCCCTACAAACCCACATGGTCCTTAAGATCTTCCGGGGATGCCCTTCTCTCACTCCCGCCCCATCTCAGGCACGGTTGGTGGGGACGAGAGAAAGAGCATTCTCGGTGGTGGCCCCTCGTCTCTGGAACTCCCTCCCCAGGGAGATTAGGATGGCACCCTCCTTATCCACATTCTATAAGGAACTGAAGATGGGGATGTTTCGTTGTGCATTTGATTGACGGTTCTTTGATAGATGGTCCCTAACCAGGATCTGAACTCAAGTTCCTATATTGTTAGGGATTCCTCATCTTCGGAAGAGGAAGGGGAGTAGGGAAGTGCTCAGGAATTGGAGGGAGAAGAAGAATCAGACAATGAGGTTTTGAAAGTGTCAACATTTCTAGAGAAACGAAAAGAGACAGAGCACAGACGGCATTCAGCTAGGATTTATTTATTTATTTATTCAGACCATTTCTACCCCTCCCTTCTCACCCCCGAGGGGGGATTCAAGGCGGCTAACACAGGCAACAATTCAATGCCAACAGGATCAAAACAACAATATAAAATCCATTACATGATATTAATTAAAATTACATAACCACATAGAACAGATCACATAATCACGGGTCATAAAGCCATTTCCAATTTTCAAACAATCCTATTGTCTGAGTTCGGTGCCTAAAGTGCTGTTGTGCCCACTAGCCAAAGGCCTGGCTCCAAAACCACATCTTTAGTTTTTTCCTAAAAGTAAGGAGGGAGGACGCCGATCTAATCTCGCTGGGGAGCGAATTCCACAAAAGGGGGGTCACCACCAAGAAGGTCCTGTCCCTCGTCCCCACCAGACGCGTTTGAGATGCTGGTGGGACCGAGAGCAGGGCCTCCCCAGTAGATCTTAAATTACGAGGTGGAACGTATAGAGAGATACATTCGGACAAGTAAGCTGGGCCGGAGCCATATAGGATAGCTGCTAAAAACGTTGAGCTAATTGGGAGATGCCCTAGTACCTCCTGCGTGGGGAATTCAGGGCTATAAATCAGAAGCAGGAGCAGTCAGCTTTCGCTGGTAACAATGAACCTGATGCTGATGTTTTCACTCCAATGGAACCTGCTCAGTGTCTGCTGCTAAGGACTTCGTGATCATTGCCCATTGTCTGATGAAAGAATGCTGTTTCTTTTGGGACTTTGTAAGAGACTTTAATTTGTGTCCGGATTAAGACTTCCTTGCTTTCTTTTGCACTTTTCAATTGCATTTGCTTATCCTTTGTGTCCGCTGAAATAAAGCATTTTTCTTTTACTTTCAGCATTGTATAAAGGCTGTTTTTGAAGGGCAACTCAGGACAGATATTCGATTACTACACTTTTAAGTTAAGCTGAAATGATCCTGTTATAATTGCTCTATTCCTGTGCTATTTGTTCTATCCACCTTATTGACCAGCCTATCATCTAACTCGTTTGCATATTGGTCCCCAGCCCGCCCCCCGCCCCCAAAATGAGACTAGAGGTATCTATGTTGTTGCTTATTATGCTTGTTTATCATTGTTTATTATGATGCTGTTCTTACGTTGTTTTAATATTTTACTGTTCTGTTTTCAATTGTATGCTCCTTTGAGCTTGACCCCATGTAAGCCGCCCCAAGTCCCTTCGGGGAGATGGAGGCAGGGTAGAAAAATAAAGTTCTTCTTCTTGTTGTTGTGCTTTTCCTGCATGGCAGGGGGTTGGACTACATGGTCCATGCGGTCTCTTCCAATTCTATGATTCTATTATTGTTTGAAGACATCCATTGCACATCCAAATATGTCTAATCAACTACCATAATAGACAGTCAGGACTGACCTACATATAGTCTACAATAGCATTTCTCAACCGGGGGTTGGGACCCCTGGGTGTGGGGGTGCCAGGGGGTGTTAGAGGGGTTGCCAAAGACCATCAGAAAACACAGTATTTTTCTGTTGGTCATGGGGTTCTGTGTGGGAAGTTTGGTCCAATTCTATCGTTGGTGGGGTTCAGAATGCTTTTTGATTGTAGGTGAACTACAAATCCCAGCAACTACAACTCCCAAATGTCAAGCTCTATTTCCCCCAAACTTCACTAGTGTTCACATTTGGGCATATTGGGCACTTGTGCCACGCTTGTTCCAGATCCATCATTGTTGGGAGTTCACAGTGCTCTCTGGATCTAGGTGAACTATAACTCCCAAACTCAAGGTCAATGCCCACCAAACCCTTCCAGTATTTTCTGTTGGTCATGGGATTTGTGTATGCCAAGTTTGATTCAATTCCATCGTTTGTGGAGTTCAGAATGCTCTTTGATTATGGGTGAACTATAAATCCCAGCAACTAAAACTCCCAAATGACAAAATTAATTCCTCCCAGAACCTCACCAGTAATCAAATTTGGGCAGATCTGGTATTTGTGCTCAATTTGGTCCAGTGAATGAAAATACATCCTGCATATCAGATATTTACATGACAATTCATAACAGTAGCAAAATTACAGTTATGAAGTAGCAACGAAAATAATTTTATGGTTGGGGTTTTTATGGTAAGGGGTCACGGCATTACGAAGGTTGAGTAACACTGGTCTACAACGACGTCGTTGATAAAGGCACATTGAACCTGGACTCTGGAGTGACTCTGGATACATTTTTTCCTACATGGCAGGGGGTTGGACTAAATGGCCCATGGGGTCTCTTCCAACAATATGATTCTGTGATTCTGTTATAGAGGAGGAATTTAGGGGTCTTTGCCAGGAGGCAGAGACCAATCTGATTCTTTAAAGAGTTCGTTACCCTGGCGAGACAGAGAGAAGCACCCAATCCCTGATTTTTTTCCCAATAAAAGGTCTCACCAAGTGGAAGGAAGTGCCGCCGATGTTTATTAGCAATTCAGCTGAAAAGGATGCAGAGCGGCAATCATTCACCAAGCAGAGCATGTGGTTACAGAAGTAAAGGCCATTTTTATAGAAAATACAGAGTTGTGAGTTTCAAAATTCCCGCTCCCCCCTCCCGCCCAGCTCGAAGGGGATTGGCTGATGTGCAAACAGCTGGGAGGAGGCTTGGCCGTCCCCCATGCATCAGGGCCAATCACAGGGCTTTCGCGGTGCACCAGAGCCTATCAGGAGGCTCCTGCTGCCTTGACACTCCAGCGAATCAGAAGGGAGGGAGGCGGGATGAAGGGGGACAATGCATTCTGGAGTAGATTATGACAAAATTGTCCCTGAGGCTTAGCGAGATCCGGGTGGGGGGTCTGCCAGCCAAGCCATTCTATTGTGTTCTTGAGTGAAGGCAATAAACATATGTTAAAGAAATCCAGGTTTTCCTGTCGCCATCAGATATGACACAAAGGGGAAGACTTGGGTGGAAGTTCTCTGTGGAGAAGTCTGAAAGAAAAACGGCTTGGAGGAAAAGAGGACTTTCCTAAGGTCATATTCCCCCCATTGTTATATGATTAAAAAGTCTGCCAAACAGAAATCCTAATGGTGCCCAACTCCGAAGACAAAAGGATTTCTTTTACTATTGTCCATGCAAAGAATGTCCAAAGATAAGGGTCTTTTCATGACCACTGATTGCTTTTCCAGAGGCAGGGCAGCTTCCTTGTAGATTTCCCCCAAGGAGAGGGGAAGGGGGCAAAAAGGTCAGGGCAAGGACAAATACATGAAGGGAAATATAGAAATACAGGAGAAAAGATGAAAATATAGAAATCATAATACAGAGCGTAAACCCAACTACCTTCCCCCAGTGTCCATAGTTCATATCATTCATAGGAAGGTCCATAAAGGGAAATATATCCATGAGGGGGAAAGAGAGTCCCTTGTTTGTGAGATGGGGGACCATCAGGAGCCCAGGTGTGCCTCAGATGGGAAAATTCAAATACTTTTGTGGCATGATTTTCAGTAATAAATTGGTTACTTTCTGCTGTAAACATATGAAAATAGAGCATAAAGCCTCGATTAAATGATACACACCAAACGGACCAAGGCTTAACCCTTATTATCCAGCCTGGTGTCCTTGCCCTTAGCAAAACTATAAGTTACTATCTCTTATGGGGAGGGGGGTCATGTTTGACTTCAATTCTACGAAGGGAAGAAAGGGAAAAGGAAATAAGGAAGGAAGAGAAAAAGGAGAGGAGAAAGTAGACGATCCAATTAACGAAGTAGACGATCCAATTAATCCAGGACTATTTTGCAGATGAATGCCTTTTCCAATGGTCAACATGCTTCCTATCTGCATACTTACTTACTTAGGCCATTCCTCATTGTCCGAGTACGAGTATCTCCCAAGATCGGTGTCCTGGCAGTGGGTCCGTAGGTGACTGTGGAGTCCTATTCTTGATCTGCATCTTCTCCCGCAATGAGGGCATTGGTTTCCAGGAGGAAGGCGATCCTTTTCAGGGCTGGCTTGATGCGCCTTCCTATTGGCATGTTTCTCGCTTTCACCCTCCATTCCTGCCTCAAATTCTACAGCACTGCTGGTCACAGCTGACCTCCAGCTGGAGTGCTCAAGAGCCAGGGCTTCCCAGTCCTCATATGAGTCTGTACCAGGTGTGGGCAAACTTCAGCCCTCTGGGTGTTTTGGACTTCAACTCCTACAATTCCTAACAGCCGGTACTTACTTACTTAGGCGATTGCTCATTGGCCAAGTAGGTGACTGTGGAGCCCTATTCTTGATCTGAATGTTCTCCCGCAGTGAGGGTATCGGTTTCCAGGTAGAAGGCGGTCTCGGTCGGGGTTGGCTTGATGCGCTTTCCTCTTGGCACATTTCTCTCTTTCGCCCTCCATTCGTGCCTCTTCAAATTCTGCAGCACTGCTGGTCACAGCTGACCTCCAGCTGGAGCGCTCAAGGGCCAGGGCTTCCCAGTTCTCAGTGTCTATGCCAGAGTTTTAAAGGTTGGCTTTGAGCCCATCTTTAAATCTCTTTTCCTGCCCACCAACATTCCATTTTCCTTTCTTGAGTTTGGAGTAGAGCAACTGCTTTGGGAGACAGTGGTCAGGCATCTGGACAACGTGGCTGGTCCAGCAGAGTTGATGGCGGAGGACCATCGCTTCAATGGTGGTGGCCTTTACTTCTTCAAGCATGCTGACGTTTGTCCGCCTGTCTTCCCAAGAGATTTGCAGGATCAGCGCTGATGGAATCGTTCCAGGAGTTGCATGTGACGTCTGTAGACAGTCCACATTTCGCAGGCGTGTAGCAGGGTTGGGAGAACAATAGCTTTATAGACAAGCACCTTGGTATCACTATGGATGTCCCGGTCCTCAAACACTCTGTGCTTCATATGGGAAAATGCTGCACTCGCAGAGCTCAGGCAGTGTTGAATTTGGTGGAGAGGTGGCTGCCAAGGTAGCGGAAATGGTCAACATTTTCTAATGTTACACCATTGATCTGTATCTCTGGCATTGGAGAGGGATTGGCTGGTGACTGCTGGAAGAGCACTTTAATTTTCTCGATGTTCAATGACAGGCTGAGCTTCTCGTATGCTTCTGCGAAGGTGTTTAGAGTGGCTTGTAGGTCTTCTTCTGAATGCGCATAGACGACGTTGTCATCAGCTAGTAGGAATTGTGGGAGTTGAAGGGCTGAAGTTTGCCCATTCCTCCTTCCAGGTGTTTAGGACTTCATCTCCCAGAAGCCCTGGTGACTGGCCAACGCAGCGGAGGCTCCTGGGAGTTGAAGTCCAAAACTCCAAGGAAGACTACCTCACGGTGGGCGGGGCCGGGAAGGGAGTGGGAGGGGCGCCTTCTGGCCAATGAGAAGCGCAGCAGCAGCGGAAGGGGCGGGGCCAGCTTTGGTGCTCATTGAATCGGGTCCCCCTCAGCTGGCTTTTTGCCGCAGCCTCCCTCCAGATCCGGCTCGCTGGCTCTTCCTGAGCCTTGGAGATGGGCCGGTGACCTCCTCCCAGGAGAGGTGAGTGAGGAAGAAGGTGAGTGGGATGGGCCTCCTTGGACTGAAGATGTTTACATTGAGCTTTCCTTTCTCCCTCCCTCCCTCTTCCTTTCTTTCCTTTCTCTTCCCTTTTTCTTCTCTTCTTTCTCTTTCTTTCCTCCTCTTCCTCTTCCTTCCCCCTTTCTCCCTTTTCTCTCTCTTTCCTTCCTTCTCACTTTCCTTCACTTCCCTTCTTTCTCTTTCTTCCTCTCCTCTCTCCTTCCTTCTTCCTTTCCTTCTCTCCTTTCTCTTTCTTCCCCTCTTTCCCTTTCTTTTCCTTCCTTTTCTCTTCTTCCCTTCCCCCTTTCCCCCTTCTTTCTCTCTCTCTCTTCCTTCTTTCCTTTTCCTTCACTTCTTTTTTCTTTCTTTCTTTCCTTTTTTTCTCTTTCTTTCCTTCCCTTTTCTCACATTCTTCCCCCTTTCTCGCTTCCTTTCCTCTCTCTTCCTTCTTTCCTTCTCCTTTCCCTTCACTTCCCTTTTTCTTTCTTTCCTTTTTTCTCTTTCTTTCCTTCCCTTTCTCCCTTTTCTCACTCCCTCTTCCTTCTTTCCTTCTCCTTTTCCTTCACTTCTTTTTTTCTTTCCTTTTTTCTCTTTCTTTCCTTCCCTTTTCTCACATTCTTCCCCCTTTCTCGCTTCCTTTCCTCTCTCTCTTCCTTCTTTCCTTCTCCTTTCCCTTCACTGCCCTTTTTCTTTCTTTCCTTTTTTCTCATTCTTTCCCTTTCCTCATATTCTTCCCCCTTTCTCCCTTTTCTCTCTCCTTTCCTTCCTTCTCCTTTTCCTTCTCTTCCCTTTCTCTTTCTTCCCCTTCCCCTTTCTTTCCTTCCCTTTTCTCACATTCTTCCCCCTTTCTCCCTTCTTTCTCTCTTCCTTCTTTCCTTTTCCTTCACTTCTCTTTTCTTTCTTTCCTTTTTTCTCTTTCTTTCCTTCCCTTTTCTCACATTCTTCCCCCTTTCTCGCTTCCTTTCCTCTCTCTCTTCCTTCTTTCCTTCTCCTTTCCCTTCACTTCCCTTTTTCTTTCTTTCCTTTTTTCTCTTTCTTCCCTTCCCTTTCTCCCTTTTCTCACTCCCTCTTCCTTCTTTCCTTCTCCTTTTCCTTCACTTCTTTTTTTCTTTCCTTTTTTCTCTTTCTTTCCTTCCCTTTTCTCACATTCTTCCCCCTTTCTCGCTTCCTTTCCTCTCTCTCTTCCTTCTTTCCTTCTCCTTTCCCTTCACTTCCCTTTTTCTTTCTTTCCTTTTTTCTCTTTCTTTCCTTCTCTTTCTCCCTTTTCTCTCTCTCTCTTCCTTCTTTCCTTCCCTTTCCTCATACTCTTCCCCCCGTTTCTCCCTTTTCTCTCTCTTCCTTCCTTCCCCTTTCCTTTCTCTTCCTTTTTTTCCTTCCCATCTCTTTCTTTCTTTCTTTCCTTCCCTTTCATCATGCTCTTCTCCCTTTATTCACCTCCTTTTTCTTTCTCCTTCATCATTCCTTCTCTTTTCCTTTATCTTCCCTTTTTATTTCTTCCCTTTTCTTTCTTTCCCTTTCCTCATACTCTTCCTGCTCCTCTCCTCCTTTTTCCCTATCCTCAATCCTTCCTTATTTCCTTCTCCCCTCTTTTTTCTCTCCCTTCCTTCCTTCTTTCCTTCTCCTTTCCTTTCTCTTCCCCTTTTCTTTCTTTCCCTTTTTCTCTTTTTTCCCTTCCTTTTTCTCATATTCCCAATTCCCCCCTTCTCTCTCTTCCTTCCTTCCTTCCTTCCTTCCTTCCTTCCTTCTCCTTTCCTTTCTGTTCCCCTTTACTTTCTTCCCCTTTCTCTTTCTTTCCCTCTTTCTCTTTCTTTCCTTCCCTTTCTCATACTCTTCCCCCTTTCTCGCTTCCTTTTTCTCTCTCTCTTCCTTCTTTCCTTCTTTCTCCTTTCCCTTCACTTCCCTTTTTCTCTTTCTTTCCTTCCCTTTCCTCATACTGTTCCCCCTCCTCCCCTCCTTTTTCTCTATCCTCAATCCTTCCTTCTTTCCTTTCTCTTCCCTTTTTCTTTCTTCCCTTCTTTCTCTTTTTCCCTTTCCTCATATTCTTCCCCCTTTCCCCCTCCTTTTCTCTCTCTCTCTTCCTTCTTTCCTTCTCATTTCCCTTCACTTCCCTTTTTCTTTCTTCCCTTCTCTCTCTCTTTTCCCTTCCCTGTCCTCACATTCTTCCCCTTTTCTCCTCTCCTTTTTCTCTTCCTTCCTTATTTCCTTCTCCCTTTCTTCCCTTCTTTCTCTTTCTTTACTACCCTTTTCTTATACTCTTCCCACTTTCTCCTCTCCTTTTTCTCTCTCTTCCTTCCTTCCCTCCCTTTCTTTTTCCTTTCCTCCTCTTCTCCTTTTCCTTCCTTCCTTCTCTCTTTTCCTTTTCTTTCCCTTCTTTACTTTTCTGTCATTCCTTCCTCCCTTCACCTCATACACATGTCGCCTAGCAACAGCCAATCTGCTTCTCTCCCTTCCTTTTCCCAGTCATGTCATCCAAGGGCCACTTCACCTAGCCACAGCCAGTCAAATCCTCTTTGTTTTCCCTCCTCCCCCTTTCAATTCTAGACTGAAAGGGGATGGATTTTCTCCCCCACTCTAGTTCAAACCCCTCAATTATTTTAAGTTGAATCATGAAAGGCCTGTGTGCCAAGTTTGGTCCAGATCCATCAAGCTTTGCAAGAGCTTCTGTGGCACAAACCAACCAACAACTGTAAATACATACATATAGGCATGGCTTGATAGATAGATAGCTTTCTATTAAGTCTACATTTGAATACATGCTTTCTGGAAGTCCCATCAAACTAATTCTAAGGAGACCTGCATCTGATTGTCCGTTTCATAGGATTAGCCATGTTAGGGTTTTCTCCCCTCTCTTATCAAGGTAATATAGTATTCTGGTTACTCGAAGATTCAACAGATTCATTGTCGTCATTGTGTTAAAAGGTTTCAGTCCATCTGTACACTGAGGCCTTCAAATGAGCCCTGTAGACCATCTGGGAAATTGATCTTTCATTTGGATTCTGTAAAAATCCACAATATTATAGTTGGGAAAAATCGTGGCTCTCTCGCTGTTGCTGGACTGCATCGCCCATTGCTCTGTTGAGTGGGACTTATGGGAGTTGCAATCCCTCTCCCCCTGTGAACCGTCTTAGAGGTTAAGATCTCCCAGGGAGGCCCTGCTCTCGGTTCTACTGCCTTTGCAGGTGTGATTGATGGGAACAAGAGACAGGGCCTTCTTAGTGGAGGCCCCTTGGCCATGGAATATAAAACTTTTAAATAAATATATAGACTGTGTTGTGAGCATTGAATCCGGCTTACAGCAAGGCTTACAGAAAAGCTCAGTCTAAAACATCAATAAAAATCTAAACAACAAACATCAACAGTGATTTAAAATACATATAGGATAAAATACATATAAGCCAATTCGCCAAGATAAAATCATGTCCAACTCAATCTGCATCTTGTGGTCAATAACTTTGGTCAATTGCCGGTCTCAGCCATCATTCTGGGAATGCCTCGTTCCATAGCCAAAATTTCACTAACTTCCTAAAAGTCAGGAAGGAGGGGCAGATCTAATTTCATTTGGGAGGGAGTTCCATAGCCGGGGAGCCACCACAGAGAATGCCCTGTCTCTCGTTCCTACCAGACGCAATTGCGAAAGTGGTGGGACCGAGAGCAGGGCCCCTCTAGAAGATCTTAGCAGCCTTGATGGTTCATAGGGGAGAATACATGCAGAGTAAACAACATAACTATAAGATTAACAAAACAATATAAACATAAAAATTGTCACCATAACACACATATATTAAAAGTAATCCTGCCTGTTCAAGGCAATTTAAAAGGCCGGGCCGAGATTAATGCAAGCTCAAAAATTCTAGGTAGGGGCGGGAATTAAGTGCAGTGTTATAGCAGGCAACAACAATAATAGGTATGGGTCTATGGCTGTTCATTTCCAAGGCCTATTAGAGGAAGTGATCTGGCTAATTGGAAGGAATAATACAGCCTTATTCAACAATGTCTAGGGCTGAGCTTAAAGGTGTGTTCTAGGGCTGGGCAACCACGGAAAAATTTGTTTCTAAACTCGATTCGTTTTTTGGGGTTTTTTGCGTTTCGATATTTAAAAGAATTCCGAAATTTTTCTTTAAAAAAGTTCGATATTTACGAAATTTTGTAAAATTACGAAACAATATGAACCGAATACGAATCGATTCGTTAATGGCGGACGCAACCGCGCAATACGCTAAAAAACCTCCATATGGGACAGGGGGAACTTTTGAAGCTTCCCTCTCCCTCTGTTGTTGACTGTTGGTGTGATATTTATAATTTTTTTTCACTGATTAAACAAACAACAGCTATAAAACTTGCCCCAGACATGCGGAAATAATAACGAAACGATTTCGAAACGAATACGAAACGAATACGAAGCAATTACGAAACGAATTGAAAAATTCGTTTCGTTTTTAAGATGCTCCTGAATGGTTCAATATCGCTTCGTTATCAAAAAAAATAACCAATTTTTAATGAATTACGAAACGAAACCGCCCAGCCCTAGAGTGTTCACTTCCTCCTCAACATTGCAGGTCGAAACATTGCAGGTTTCATAGCAAAAATGGATGAGCATTGGATCCAGCCAGTGTCTGAAAGTGGGATTTCCCATCATTACACCAGAGATTATCAGTTCAATGGCACAGGAACATTTCCACCTCCTTGTTTATTAACCCAGTTGTGTGTTTTGAGGAGCAAGGACTTTGAGCAACAAGACACACCAACAGCCTGCTTTGAGGAATTTATTTATTTATCATATCAGAGGCGAACTGAGGTTACAGTTGTAATGTGTTTATTAAAAAATGCAAAGATTATAAACTTTGCATTATATTAAATGTCCTTTGACCAGTAGCTGGCCATTTGGGGTGCCTCTTTTGTTGTTATAAGGTCCTCCGTTGTGCATGTGGCAGGACTGCATTGTAGTTGGTGGTCTGTAGATTGCTCTTCTCCAAAATTGCATGTCGTGGACTCCACTTC